TAGCCTTAATGCTCCCTACTTACTATACAGGGAGCTTAGGCAGCTACTCTGGGTTTTGGATTCCACTCCAGGTGAAGTACCTAATATTGAGGCACCCAAATCTTGATTAATCTACTATTAATGATAGTAATGGCATCTTAAGTACTGCAGCTCTATGCCTCCAGCCTTTTCCCTCTGCAGAAACACTCTGTCTTCTTCAGTTGTAGCCCCTCTACTTGTTGCAGGATCTTTCCAGTCTCTAAGTCACACAGTTTCTGTTCACCCTCAATCCACACTAATTCCACATCCTTCCAGAGCCTTACCACATTTCTCCTGCTGAGCACAGAAAGTAAGGTAGATGCCTCACTTTGTGAGTTTCTGGCCCAAGGCCATGGAATACATTTTTTTATTGGCATTTTCCCTCTGGGAGGATGAGTCAGTCACAGGCCATTTCTGTGTGCTGCAACTAGCACTTCATGCTATGCTGAACAAAAATATATTCATTCCATAATACTCAATTTAGCATTATATAATGGGGGAAAGAAAATGTCATTATCATGTAGCATTTCTGATCCAAATCTCTCAGGTGTGGAAGGGACTTCTAGAGGCATCTTGCATTCTATACTATTCCCCCACTTGTTAAGTGTTTCAGCAGCTCCTAAAGTTGTAGCTGTTTGTAGTTAAACTTGTATCTGCAGTATGTCATTCTGTCCACCACGTGTTTGGGGGGAGGGGAACGACAAGAGTCAGAACAGGAAGAGTAGCTGCCTTTGAGAGGCACTGAGCACACTCCCAGTATTACTCCTATGCCAGTGGTCTCGGGAAACATGCTGGGCACCTGTCTAAGCTAGTCACATGGCCTAATTCCCAGATTTTCCATGGGTTGGTGCTCCCAGGCACAGTCTAGACATGCCATTTCTTGCCTTGCAATGCAAATTCTAGAAGCACAACCATGAATTCAGACTGCACTGGGGGCAGGGGAGGGGGGACTTCAACAATTTAAGGCAGCTAGGACTGCCTTAAAACTTCTGCAAAAATGGGGCCCTGGCTCATTTTGCCATGGCACATCCTACTACAAATAACTTTTAAAATACAGTGGTACATACAAAGTATCATATTTCTATTGTACAACTAAGTTATTTTAAAGATGACTGCGTACATGCAGCCTGAAGGTACTTTGTGAGTTTCTCGGTTATCACTTGATCAAACAATCTAAAAGTAACCCTGGTGATGTAAAAGAGGAGCTGCTTTCCCCCCTAGAGAACTGAGGCTTAGGACAAAACCAAGGTCAGCTCTTGTACAAGGCAGAAGACAAACTGAGAGGCCTGGGTAAGCCCTACAGAAATGCTGTGAACAAACATGTACAAAAATGCTTTGTAAGTCTGAACAAGTCTCTACCTGCTGTGAGTTTTCTCCAGCAAATTGCAATTTCTAAAAAAAGAAAATGAATAGCTACAGACACTTCTGCTGCTTCTTCCCATCCTAAACATGACAGAGCAATTTTAGCAACGTTTTAGCAACACATACATTTTGCAGTCAGTGGTAGAGTTGCTGCAGAAACAGGTACCAGGGTCAAATACACACTTTATTTAGACTTTGGTCTTGGTGAGAGAATAAAAATGGGAGTGAGGGGGATCTGACAAAACAAAGTTGAAGTGATTAGACATGCACATGATGAGGCTTTAATGTAGAAGAACAGGGTGGAACAATTTTTGTCTTCTGCAATATAATTCTTTAACAATATTGGAAGAACAGTCACAGTTTACCAATATTACAGCTGACTAAGCTAAATGTTAACACTGGTGATGATGGTGCATTTCAAATCACATGTCACTAGCTATTCTCAAATAAAATTACAGAAGATTGTCAAGGCATATGCACCCTGCACTCAGAAACACAAGCAAAGATCTGTGTCAAAATAGACTGCCAGGTTAGGTCACATACTAAATTACTGCCTAAGTGCAATTCTTATGGACTGAAAACAATGCCAGAACTGATTCTACTTCAAGACATGTCATGTCTAGCTTCATACAAAAATAGTAAAGTTTGTCTTTTGGAGAGATGGGAGGTACATGGGGGAAGGGTGGGGAGGCGAAGAGAGAGCAGGGAAGAAACTCAGGGGCTGCTTACAAACATCAAAAAAACAAAACTTTAAGCTCAGTACTCCCCCACACCAAGCACAGCGCATGCCCAGAAGAGGCACTGCGTTAGTTTGACCCAGTTTGCCCAACATCTGTATAAACTGGGCACTTCAGCAGGGCTTTATGGCGCTTTTATCTAACACCTGATTGAATCAGCTGTTAGATAAAAGAGCCAAAAAGCCTCACTGAGGCACCCAATCTATATAGACGCTGGGGAGACGGGTTAACGCACTTCCTTTTCTGGTAAAGCGCTTGTTTTTTTTTTCTCCTCACATCTGTCATCGCCTATGACATTCAAACCCTTCCTATTAAGTCAGAGAAAAAAAGTCCTGAGAGAGAAATTTCTGGGAAGACATTTGCAACCCATGAAAAAGTTCCTGCAAGGTGCCTTCTCAGGGTCTGTGGGGGTCAAATTTGTCCTGGTGCTGATGCCGCATCTGAGAAGGAGCCAAAAGGGAGTCAGTTTACAGCAGCTGTAACCAGCATATACCTCCCCTCTGTCCCATTGCCTCACCTTCATATTGGTACATCTTAACCCCCAGCAACATAATCTGCAATAATTTGTACTTTCTAATTTCTAAACTGGGGCTTTAAAAACTGATAATCCAACTGGGCCTGTCCTAATTTGTGCTTTAACAGTCATGGTCTTTGTTAGCATTACTGCAGTCATGCAATGACCTGTCCTAGGATGGTCTTGGTCATGCCTCCTCCTCCTTTTGCTACAGCCAAGGGAGTCTTGCAGAGAAGAGTGCAGAGTTAAATCTGTACCTGCTGGGGAAAGCAATAGGGCTGGCCCATGCCCAAGCCCATTGCCTTGAGCTCTCATTGGACCATAGGCCACAACTGAATCAGCTCTTTGAAGTGTGATGTTTATATAAGCAATGTAACCTGAACCCAGCTGCTATTGCCAACCTAAGTTACCCAATACTGCAGAAATAAGTCTTCCTCACTTGGCTAGGTTTTTGTGACCTTAATCCTTTTTGCAGCTTATCTTTGGGCCCTTTGAGCATGTCTACATGTGTCGCTATGGCAATGTTACTGCCTGTGATTTAGTACTTCCTTTTAGAATTACTAAATCATGGCACAGTAACAGCCCATACTGCACTGTACGTGCAGCACATGGTTGTTTTTAGCAGCTACTTCGCCATAGTAGTGCACTATACAAGGGGCAGTGCATTGCTATGGGGAAGTAGCTACTGGTCATGTGCAGACACCTGTAGATGCTACATCACCATACTGTGTTACTATGGTGATGTACAGCTATGTGCAACTTACTGGTAACATTCCACTGAGTTGCCTAATCTACCCAGTGCTCTTCCCCACAGGCAAGCAGCATCTCTACAGCAAGCTAAGAGTTGCTCCAAGGGCAAGCAGGGAGAAATTTGCTGACAGAGTAATTGACAGCAGCAGGCAGAAATGGAACGTCTAACAGTTCTTTCTATGAGTACATTAATATGTAAGGGTTTAAAAAATCCTCATAAGTCATTATTGTTTAAAATTTTACCAAAATTTTTCCTGCTTTACCTAATAAAGGTCTATTATGACCCTACAGCTCCTAATTTTCCCTTTTTCTCCCATGAAAGCTTTCATCTTGTTTGACTAAGGGACCAAGACCAAAGCTCTGTCAGCCCGTAATTGCTGTGGAAGCACAACACGTGAGGGTGTTTCCACCCTCTCACCAACAGCTGGCACTTCCCCATGGGAAGCCTTCAGCTATCTCAGGATCCTATGTAGACAGTTCCTCCTGTCCAAGTCTACTACAGCACAGCGTCCTCTCAAGACAGCAAAAGCAACCTGCACAAAATACAGCCCTTTTACAGTTTCAGATGACTGCACAAAGCAATCCTTCTTCCAAACTTCTCTGTCCAATTGGCATTGTGCTTCCCAATTTATAGATGAAAGGGTCAGAGTAGAAAAGCAAAGCAGAGTATGTCAGTGAGGGAACTGTGCTTAAAAAGCAAGATGTTAACTCCACATCCAAAGTGGACTTGACAAGAACATTGACAGAGAAACAGAGAAAAGTGATTTAGCTCACAAGGGAATCAAATCTTACTAGAAAGCAGACAAAAGGCATATCAGGCTTGCAAGCATCATGCCAAAGGCACAGTCTGACTTTGTCATCCAGACAGCCGTTCTGGCAGTTCTGGTCTGCAGAAGCCTCATGAGTTTCTGCCAAACAGCAGCAAAGTGATGCCTGAGAGTCTTTATCATACAGTGCGGAGTCACCCACTGAATGTAATGGCCATGGAAGATTGGGACATTCTGCTTACACCACCCTCTCTCTCAGAAATGGAGGAATAATCAGGTGGAACTTGGAGGAGCTGCAGGAGTTCACAGATGTTCCCACAAACAGAGTATCCTGCTCCATAGCAGATAAATACGAATAGAGAATACTTACCTCCTGTCTTAAATCAGAGGTTCTTATATCTACTTCTGGAGTTAACACCTTGCCATTTGCACTGTATAGCACAAGTACTTCAACACAACTTACCAGGTTACACATTTTTCATCCCTTTTATTGGAAGCATGTTATTTAAGCATTGCTCTAAAATGGCACTTCATGGAAATGTAGACAAGTCTTTCCGCAACGCATATTACAACATTACCATTAGAAATTGCCTCATGACACACAATAAGTAAGCAAGCTCCGTCCAATAGTTGACTGATTGGTTTCGACAGCATAAAAGCTAGACAGATGCAATTTACAGAGGTTGAAAAAAAGATCAATCACACACAGAATACAAACTATACTTAGGATCCAGAGGTAGTTTTTGCAGAGAAGCCTTCAAAATCCTGCGTTTTACTGCAAAAAGGGACAATGTAGCCTCCAAGGCACTTTTCACATAAGAGGAAAAGCTGATGCCTTTCCAGAAAGAGATATTTTGAACTCATTTTTGAAGGGTACATTCAGAAACCCCATACTATAATCTCCTACAAAAGAAAGAGTAAATGTCAAACAAGTTAATGAAAAGGAGCAGTGTGACAAAAATGCTAGAAATGCTTTTAAAAAAAGGGACCAATCAGGAAGGAAGAGAAATGAAGACATGGCCCCAGTCCTCCTATAAATAATTTCTGAAGCCTGGAGAAAATGGACAGGAGATTCAAAAATACCTTCAAAAGGATTTTGAATTAATCCTCAAAAGGCACCCACACACTAAGACACCTGGCTGTTCAGCGCTCCTTGTATTATTTTAAGCACCAAGAAGATTAACCTTCGCAGCACTGGGAAGGAAACAGACTTCTAAATTCTGATCACAGTTGATAACGGCAGGCCCAAAGAATGCTTTATCCATTTTAATCTACATTTGCCTACACCAATAATGGCATAAAACCTCTGCAGGTCAAGAAAGCCCAAAGCCTACCACTTTCATTTTTAAATCCCATTTCCTATCACTATTGAGTAGTTTTTGTATGTTATTACCTTTTGGAGATGAAGGCAAGGAATACATGTTATGACCCTGGTTAAACCTTTATTGTAACAGATCTCAGAATTATCAAATTTAGAAGACGTGCAAAAGTTTGTCAAATTGAACTCTCCCCTCTATAACAAAAGTCTGTCCAGAGCAAACTATAGCTCACAGTAGAGTGCCTTGTGGAAGACTGTGCCTATGAGTAATTTCCCATCATGCACAGCTGCAACAGAACTTCCCTGAAGCACAGAGCCATTCTCAGCATATACACGGGACACCAGAGGCTTCTCAGACAAAATGTTCTGGACACGGAGTACCTAAGGAGGGAAGAGGTCCATCCAGTTAAGACATATGTTACTTTTGGAGGTATCAAAAAGCTAGCACAGAGCGGATGTTTCATAAGTATTTTAATGTAATTAACTCAAATATCCTATTTACATAAATTTAACTAACTAGATCATTACGGCTTCTTTGGCCTTAAAAGAAAACAGAACTGCTCCATAAAGCAAGTCAGGAATTCACCAAGTTACCTCTGCATCAAGACAACAAATTCTGGGTGACTACAGTATATTTATAGAAAGACAGCCAAATCTTCATTTCAGAGGCTCTAGTGACAGAGAACTGTTCATTCCTTGATAAGTTATGACACCTAAGTTACCTTCACAGTTAGGAAATTTGCACCTTGTTTCTAGCATGAATTTGCTTTGGTTCTATTTCCAGCAGCTGGATGTAGGTATTCTCTTATCCACTAAACTAATCCCTCCCCAGTCACCTCCCAATTTCAGAATTTTTTCCCCATATAGATATTTACGGACCTTAAATAAAGATATTTATGGATCAAGTCACCTCTAAAACCTTCTCTCTGATAGACTAGGTAGACTGAACTTCTCTAGTCTCTCAGGGGAAGGGACGATTTTCTGAACTTCAAATCCTCTCTCTTTTCTTTTTTTAAGTATTTTCCAATTTTTCAAACATCCTTCAGAAATACGGTCACAGCAGTCCTGTGAAGGGCTCAAAAATTCTGAAGATGAGTTCTCCTACTATTTAGTGATCCCATTTTGATGTAAAGTTAACCTTTCAGACAGGTCAGATTCTGCCAGAAGTACAGAGCTTCTTGCTAAAGGCAAGAGCTCAGAAAAGTTTAAGTCAGCAGGCCAGATTCAACCCACCTTACTCACACCAAGTAGTAGTTCAATCTGCAAGTAATTCCATTGATTTTAGCGGGGACGCTCACAGATGCAAGGTGTTATTTAATGAAAGCTAGGATTGCAACCTGTTGCTTACAGCTGGTCATTAAAAACAAAGATTAAACAAGAACAAAGACAAATTTATCCTCTTCTATCCTGAGCCAACACTGCTTTTGTAAATAATTGAAGTTAGCTTCTTCAAAGTTTAATTATTCTGCAAATGCAGAGAAAGATGACCAAGGATCCCAGTATCAATTAAAGCAGTGCTGCTCAACCGTCTGGCCTTGTGCATTGCATCTGGCCATGGATGAGAGACCCCACGCATCAGTGATCCAGCATTGGGGTCACATTGTCCAGCCCGCAGTGCATCCCCTGGGTTCAGAAGTTTGGCAGCAGTAAAGCAGTGGTACTGTGTACTACTACAGCTTCCACAGATGCAGCAATTACTGTTGTTACTACCCCCCTGCTGGCAAATTTCTGGACCTGTGAGGAGCTGTGCAAGTTAGATGTCATGGACCCATGGACCAGATTTGGCATTCAGGCCAGAGATTGAGCACCAATTAATTAACTTATTAGACTTTTCTAGTGGTCACCAGCACATTTTAGTACAATGTTGGCTGGCCAGCTCTAGCTATTTAACCACAGTTAGAGTTGACCCCCCTACTTCAAGAGGAAACAGTCTCTTCTCTTACAAGTTCTTTTAGGAGGTATTCTTTTCAATGAGTTGTTAGTTAGGAAACAGGTGTGGAGTTTTTCCAAAGCACACAAGTAATTCAGAAGAACAAACTAACTAGTCAGTACCATCTAAGCTCCCAGCTCACTTCAGTGCTTTTAGAGATTACACTTCAATGGATGGGACAGCATCTCTACTCTGGGCAGCTGCCATCTTGTAAAAAAAAAAAAAAAGCAAAACAGTCTCCCTATCTGCTTTGCACTTACTTTTCTGTACAAAGGCCCTACTCTTCCACCATCTGGCTGAAAATATATCTTTTGTTTTTTCCCTAACAGGCCACATCCACACATGCGTTTTTGGTGCCACAAACTGCATGCGCTGTATGTTAAACCGTGCGCAGCACTGCTAATTTGCAGCAGGAGGGGGTGCAGCTTTTGATACCAGGATTTCCTGGTAGCAAAAAACAAAACCCGGGGAAAAAAGGCATCACAAAGTACACAAAAATAGTGTGTGGTGGGACAAACGTAGAGACAGAGGAGCAGACAGCCCATCTCCACGCACTGTGGAGCCACCACGCTGATGTCCCATTTACCCATTCCACAGCTGGCTGTGTGTTCCTCAAGATAGGGGAGCAGGCAGCCCTGGGCTGGCTGCTCCCATTTCTGCATGCCTCAGCACAGAGGCTCCACTGCAGAGCCCCCACAGTGAGACACATGGAGACAGGAAGCCCCCACACTGAGGCGCCCTGCACCCCAGCCAGTTGTGGAGTGGCTGGCTGGGGCACAAGGTGCCTTAGCATGGGGGGCTCTGTAGCACACAGAGAAAGGGGAACAGGCAGCCCAAACTGCCTACTCCCCCATCTCCATGTGCCACCCCGTGGCTGGTGGGGTGCGGGTTGCTTCAGCATGGGGCACATGGAGCCAGAAAGAGCTGGAAATGGGCAGTTTGCCCATTGCAGAACAATGTGTCCTGCAACAAAGGGCATGTGCACGGGTGTGCACTGCAGCACAAAGTATCAGCA